TTAAAATGTATTTATTATATATGTCAATTGTTTTAACCAATCAATTGAATTTAAAACTAAACATGCTTTAAGCTTGTATTCATCAATTTTCTAGTAATAGGACTTTTAAAAGCGTCATCTAAGTTTTTCAAGTTACTCTTGATCTATCATCTTTTGTATAATTCAATCTCTAATCTCTCTTTTAGAATCCCAAAAACTTCTTCACATAAGACCAATCAAGAACCTAAACACCCTCTTTCCTAAAGATTACTAAAATGACATACTTAAGCTTTGTTCCAATAAAATCTATACTCATAAACAACTATAAGAACTACATAGACTATTTGCCCCATGTTAATTAATCCACATTTAACATTACAAATAAGATATAGGGGAGTAAGCACCTTGGTATATTTCAAAAAAGTCAGAGTAAGCACCTTGGTATATTTCAAAAAAGTACCTCAAAAAAAAAATTCCACTTAGCTCTAGATATTGAAATGAAAATACTTTTTCTTTAAACTTTTTTTAGTATTGTGTTTTAAATATGGTTGTACAATTTTGAATTGTTTTTGTTTAAAATTATTTTTTCTATGTTTTTGGATTATTTTGATATGCTGATATTAAAAATAATTTTTTTAAAATAAAAATATTATTTCTAAGCGAAAAACAACTGTTATTATACTTCCAAACACCCTAAAAGCGATCACTTGAATCTGAACACCTTGAAGAAAACCATTCCATTATGTCCTAGTGTTGCCATGTTGATTACATAAGATGGAAGATTATCACATCATTTTGTTTAACAAAGAAAATGTCAAAAGAGTTTTAATGTGACTATCTAGAATTACTCTAAAGTCTAATATGGGATTTTTAGTCACTCTTTCTATCTTGTTCAAAGTCCAATAACACTCTGTATTTAAATATAGAATGTAAACCATTACATTATATGATTTGGCCATAATAGATGGCCTTTACCCAACAAGGGACTTTGTGCTTCTATATAGATTGATATAGTTTTTCTAAGAACTTGGTATTAAATGATGAAAGAAAAAAGAAAACCAATCTTATGAGAGATTAAAAAATAAAATACATGACTTAATAGAGAAAAAATCAACAGTTTCTTTTGAATAAAAAGAGTATAAAAATAAAAGTGATATAGCAAAAGGTACATAAACAAATCACATATCAATTAAATCATTTATTTTTTAGTGATTTATGCTTACTTAAACGTCATATGAATCCATCAACTTGTCACCTTGTAATTATAGGCCAAAAGAATATTGGTGACTCTAACAAACAATTCCACTCAAATTTGAAAAGGTTCCACTCAAATTTGAAAAGGTTTGCTCGTAGGCAAAGCTAAAATTATGATGCACTATATTTCTTTTTTGATAGTCAAAGATTGAATAAGTTAAGAGAAATAACTAATAAACCTATTTATAATAATGAATATTTCTTTTGAATAGCGATGACAAGTCTAATTCAACATTGCATTTGCTAATCTAGAGGTTGTTTAGTTACATATCAAATCTCTTTCTTAGTTTTTAAGAGGTAGTTTAATATGCTTTATATCCAATTAGTTATTTATATATCACATTATTATATTCATGTAAATACATATTTATTATTAATAAAAGTTTAATTTATTTTTAATATTCATATAATATTAGATTAATAAATCTAGGGTAAAGATAAAGTCCATGAGATAAAAATGCTTTACAAATGAAATTATAAAGTTGTTATGATTATAAGATTCTTGTTACATCAAAGCATTATTTCTAAAATATTCTTGGTCGATGCTCTCTTAAATATTAGATATTTATTAGAGTCATAAAGACTGATATATATTATGTTTTTTTCTTTATAAAAGGAAGCATCTATTTTAACAAGATGAGGTATAAGTAATACCTAAAATTAATATATAGGTGATTGTCGTAAAACATGTATACTGAACTAACTTGCATGAGAATTTTATATAGAGATATCACATATGTCTATGAAAAGACTTATGTGATAGTTGTGTAAATGATCCTTAAACTTGAGATCACTAAGTGATATTATATAGAAAATATTATGTTTTGATCTTGTTACATATTATCTTAATTGAGGTAATGAAATGGTAGATATCGGGTATAATATGAACTATATGAAGATATTTGAATGATCAAGAAAATATTCGTTACCTTAGGTGAATTAGGTAAAATCTTCCAACTATTCTGAATAGTATTAAATGAGAAATTATTGGCCTAAGTGGAATGTGATTTGAAAATATTTTAAATCTTATTCAAATGATCAATGACTTTTCTATAGAGAGCAAACATGATTTAACATGGCAGACATACTTCATGCTTTAATGTTAAATCGAAATATTATTAATGAAATGATATTAATTAAACTAAGAAACCAGTCACTCAAATATTAAGTTAAACCACTAATAATTTTTCTAATATTTCGGGGATCATGAAACGTTACTAGACGATGCACCTAATCTTCATATATAAATTAATCAATTTTTGAATAAATAATAAATTAAAATTTTTAATTTATTTAATTTATTTAATTATAATTATAATTACAATTTATATTTAGGCCAACATAGTGGAACCTAATGGGTCACACACAGTAAGAACCATTAATAAAAAATTAAACTGGAATGATTTAATTAAGTATAACTTAATTAAAATATATTTTAGAAATTAAGGAGTAGATTATAATTAATACATAGATTATATTTTTAGATTGAGAAAAATTAAGTAAAAACTTGATTGATTTAATTTATAAAATTATCTTGAATTAATATATGAATATTGTTTAAGGAAAAATTGATATTTTATTAATTTATAGGAGTTGTCTATTAGACAAAAAAATTACATAAACACAATATTAGAACTAATACTCTAGGCATTGCAATCCATTTCTTCTAGATAAGGATTTAGGATATTTTTCATGAGTGATCTGCGTGAATTACCATTGGAAGCAGAACAATTAGACAATTTATGGTTTGCGACAATCTAGCCTTTAAAAAATTATTCAAAACAAAAAAATCAAATATTTAATAAATTTAGACAATCTAGCCTTTAAGAAATTATTCAAAACAAAAACATCAAATATTTAATAAATTTCTAAATAATTTTAGATTTATCTAATGAGATTTTAAATACTCTTAAATAATTTTGTTTTATAATTTTTATTACGTGTATAATTTTTAAAACCAATACAGAGAATTCCAGAAACAATGAGGAACAAGAATTAATTTGGGCTTTTTTTATCAGCATTTCTTCGAATATTATTAAGTAAAGATTAATTAATAAATCTTTAATTAAAATAGTTGAATATTTATGATTGATAGACTTGGTAGTTAATTATCTATCTAGGCGGCATTTTCATGCATATGTAAAATTCAAAAGGTTCCACTTGTGATAGTGGTGAACGAGGGACTTGACAATTTGGTGGATTATCTTATCCTTGGTGACTGTTCAAAAACGATACTGAAACTTTATCCTTGTCTCTAGTAGCAGCACATGTCCCAGTAAAGCAAACCAAGCCAACTTGCGTACAGGACTGCAGACTATACGCTATTCAAGTCAGCTTAATTCCTCACTTTCTTTTTTTTTTAATATATGATTATATTTTAAATAGGTTGTACACACTCATCAAGTTCCATTTACGATAAGTTTCCTTTTAAATATACAGAACGAACGCATTGCCATTGATTATAACAGACGAACTGTGCACCCATTTACCTTTTATTGGGTTAAAATGAAAAATGTTTGAGCGTCCGATAATTTTAAATGCGGGATGGAACTTATCTCAACATGCAGCGAGTATTACTTTTCATTACTTGAGTTCCAGGGTGCATGCAAGTTTTTGCAATATGGCTATCGGCATCAGTTCTCTGTTGTTTCTGTAAGCAGCAGCGTTTGATTAAGATGGAAGACTGCCAAAAGGCAAAGAGTAGAGCTGCAGACAAGCAGACAAGGGAAAACTTCTTGCATAAAACTTGTTAGTTTGTTCAGAACATGCTTGTATCTATTGCTAATTTTGAAATTTATTTCGTCATTCTATCCGCAATTGGTTTTCGTACAATACGTAATATGTAATCCAAATCAGAGGGAAAGTGCTGAAAAAGACACCGTTCTTATCTACCTCACTCGTAGAGAATAGTTTAATTTTATTCTAACGGTACAGCAATTTGGAATTTCTGATGTACATGTATATAAGACAATGAAATTAAGATACGGAAAATGAACCCTTGCATACTCATGCTGTCCGAATATGCCTTGTGAATAAACAAAATGAGAAACATAATCGACTCAATATATAGGTGCAATGATCTTATCCATTTAAAACTTCAAAGCCACTTTATACGTACAAGTTGGTCATGAAGATGCAGAAGAAATTATTTTTGAAAAATGAAAAGATTTTCCTTTTATCTTATTTTCTTGAAAAGACAATTATGGAATTGTTAGCTAGGATTTGATTCTGCTGAGCTTTATCCCATCAAGGGAACCCCTCCGAAAGTGCTTCTTGCGATTGATGGTGCACCACCTTGGGCCAAAAGCTGAAGTACACCTAAACCTCACTAAAGTAAAGCATTATTCTTGTTTCACCAAGAAAACATGCAGATTATTCTACCTAATGTGATGATCCACTATATATGCTGCCTAATTGATAAGGGCAATTAGTCTCCCGGAGACAATTCCCTTAACTTGTGTGTAGGGTAGGAATTCCCAACCCCTAGAAAATACATGATAGAACTCCATGCTTTCGGCAGTGGTAATTAAAAATTACGTGATTTTTAGCTTCTGGAGAGCATAAAGACTAATGAATTCTCCATATCTTGGAAAGCAGTTTAACTAATAATTGGAATATATCTTACCCATAATTTGTACCCTATGAGTTCTAGATTTAAAGGAGATTATGCTTTCAAGATAATTACCCGAGGGACCATGCACATTCCGGACCTTTACAGATCCTCCAACACAAGAAGAAAGTAGCCTAGTCACTATTATATATACACCCTATCTTCCCACTGAAATAATCAGAAAATTTGGATTTACTGCTAGCTTAAGCTGAAATTCAAGTAACATGGAGTCCAACCGCAAGCGCAAAGGGTTCGTGAAGGGCAAGTTGATGCGTTTCTATCGATCATCTTCGAAGCCTTCCTCGAATGTACAGTACAGCAGCAAGGTTAAGCCAAGCCAGACTTCCCCAGCAATTGCTTCAGTGGGTTACGTTGTCCACCATGACTATACGATTGCCCCGCAAAAGCAGGTGGTCTCATTTATAGTGCCGGCATCAGACAACCGCCAAGACAAGTTAAGCCAATTTGACGAGTTCTTTGGGGTTGGTGGTGATGTAAGAATAGATACCATGGCTACTAGCTACATCTCTTCCGTTCAAGAACGTTTCAAGCTTGAATGAATCAGCTCGGAAGACAAGCAGTACGAAGGGGTCATCATGTATGCATTGTTTATCTTGCCGGGAGAATATTAGCATATTAGTCATGAATTAATAAAATCTTGATCGATCTTATAATTTCATATGTGAAGATCAGAGGTGTACGTGTTGCCTTTATTTAGAATGAATCCTTAATATCTGAAGTCAGCTTCTCATGTATTACTAATTCAGGCTGTGGTCAATCAGAAATTTATCACAATTCATTTGACCCTTTCCTCTGTGTTAATCAGGGCCTGGGTGTGTATAAATATATAAACAATCACTCTCAGGTTACACCCAGCAGATCATTTGGAATGCCCATTCACGTTCTTCTAACGCCAGCAAAAAACTTGGACATTTTTGTATGAAAGAACTGCATTAATTACTATTATGACATTATAACTTTTCTCAATTAAATACACAAATTTTATTCTTTTAATTTGAATACACTGATTTCTTTAGAATTTTCAATTGACCAGTACTTATACCCCCCTCCCTGTCAATTTCTTTATTATTCTCAAAAACAAGCACATCTTTAACGAAGTGTTATTTTTCTTTAAATCTTGATACTCCTACTTTTATTTTATTACAATCAAGTAAATGAACTTTAATAATTCTCATTTTGATACACCAACTTTTTAGTGTGCCAAACAAGTAAATGCTTTCTTCATTTAATTTCTAATGTGATTTCTTTTAGTAAAAAAAAGTACCCTCAAGTACAAGATTTTAAATTAAAAAAAACTATTCAAGGCCTAAACTCATTTCATCGATAGTAAATCATTTACATAAAGACTAATTAAAAATATTTTAAAATTAATTAAAAATAAAAATAAATTATTAATACAATCAAAATATAATTTATTATTTAACATGAAACCTCTACTCTTTTTAAATTGACTAGGTTCCTTTATTCAATTTTTTTTTTTTAACATGGTTTCCATGTCATAATATATGGCTTACCACCATTAATTTAAAAAACATTTATTTTAATTTTCTTAGAACCATTTATTTTAATTTAATATTATTTCATTTATCAAAAGTAATCTCATTGTAGAGGGACGTCCTTTTAGTAAGAAAACCCACATTATTAAATTAATAATTAATTAAAGTACTTGATTGGAGCGCAATTAAAAACATTGGTGAATGAAAATGAAAAAAAATTAATGTTCATAATAAGGGTTTAAGAACAAATAACACATAATCATCAATAACCTCAAAAATTGACATAAGGTAACCAAAAATACTTGATTGAAATCTCTTGAAAAATTCAATGTTCAAATAAAAAAAATTTAAAGTTCATATACTTGATGGATGAAAAGTGTAAAGTTGGTGTACTAATAATACAATTATTCCACTTATCTATATACAAGCATGTGTTTAGCTATTGTAATTCCAAGTTTTCTTTCTTTTGTTTTTTAATGAAGAAGTCTTACGAGACACACATCCGAAATCCAATAATAATACAAAGTCTGCATCCGAGAAAAAGATTAGGTTAGGCAAATCCCATGGAACTTGAAGAGAAGTACGAGCAATTAATGCATAGGCCATATTAATATTAATATTCAAGCGGAGATGCATGAAACGGTAACTCTTTTCTAGATGTGCGATGGAAAAGTGCCCCACAGACTAGTTAATTGAAGTGCAGTGGTTAATTAATTACAAGTTATTTTAATGGTTTAATCTTTGAAATAAAATAATAATAATAATGATGATGATGTTTCGGACGAATAGAATATCCCTTCCTTGAAATGGAATTCTTGTCGAATATATTCTCGGTGGCATGCGTCGTTCTCTACCTATGAGCATAGAAAAAAACGAGATTGATAGATAGATATATATATAGATGAATAATAATAATAACAAGAATAAAATCTTGGAATCCAACATGACTTCACATGAGATGACAATTGATATTAACATTAACAAATATATAAAAATAAGTAGGGTTTTTCGTAGCTCCTTCGTTGTGAAAAAAATCTTTGTTATTTCTTTTTTATCTTTTATTTTAATTTCATTCGTGAACTTTTTCTTTCCTTTTAATTTAATTTTTTTGTAGCCTAATTTTATAAGATATATTTTTAAGTTGTAGTAAAAAGATGAAATTAAAAGTGAGAGAACTACAATTAAAAAATTGAAAAAATGTGTTGTCAATCTCAAAAATTTTAGATTTTTTATTTTGATATTAAATTAAATTTATTTGATTTATTTTTCAGCCCTTAAACATCAAAAAAGAGAAAAAGTATTTAGAAAACAATAGATAAAAAAGAAAGTTTTCAACTAACTATATTCTAACAACAAAAAATAATTAATATTTTTCATGTTAAAAGATTTCATTCGATGAGAAAATTTTGATGATGGTAGGTTTTTTTCCTATAAGTTTACTTAGATTCTTTTTTATTTTATTTTTTATTTTTAAGTGATTTTAGGGTTTTTTAAAAATGATATATGGTAGTTTTCATTGTATTTTTTAAAGGAACTTAGATGGAAAATGGATTTTTAGGTGAAACATTCCTTCTTTTAATTTTCAAGTCACCATAATAGTGATTGAATTTTAAAAAGCAAGGTAAGTTTTCACCTACTTTATAAAAAAAGAACTTGTTTACTTTTATGAACTATTAAAATATATATATATATCTAGGTTTACTCCTGAGCTTCCGAAATTAGGTGCACCTGAGCTTTTTCTAAAGGACATGTACATCAGGTTGGCCAACTAGTGACACGACTTTCTTTTTCTAATTATACTTTAACAAAAAAAAGTAATAACTACATTCTTTTTTTATGTATTTTTTTATCAATATTTTTATTTGAATTTTACTTAACATTATTTCTCTCTAATCTTTTAATTTTTATTGTTCACCTTTTTTAAATAGTAGTTTTTTTTTAATTATTTTATATTTTTATAATATTTCAAAGAGATATTTTTTATGTCATTATTTAGGAACTTGTTCAAACCGTATAATAACTTGATAAGCATATAAACTTTTTTTTCCTTCCCTCAAACAACAAACCCATATGATTTGTTTTATATAGACCATTTTATTAAGGATGTCCCATTTAGAAAAATTATTTTTACATTCATTTAATATATTTCAAACTTGTTAATTGTTATGGTGGTTATTAATATCTATATAAAAATTATTCTTGATACATGTGAGAGTATGTATCGAAATAGTTGATTAGTACCTAAAAATATATTTTTATCAAGGTTTTATATCATTATTTTGCACTTGAAGTATCAATAACTCCTTAACTAAAGTATGTTTTATAATAAGAAGTCTGATAATATAATATACCTTTAATTTATGATAAATATTCATTTTAAATATAAGTCTATCACATAAATCAAAGGATTGATTCATATGATTAACTATTGCAAGTGAAAGGATAAAGAAAAGGCTAAGTTTAGAAAAGAGATGTTGCTTCAATCCAAATTAGAACATTGTTTGGTTCAATCCAAATTAGAACATTGTTCAGTCATATTTAGAGCTGTAAATCTTAAATTTTAGTTTGGTTTATATGACTAGAAACTTAAGATATAGGCCTAAAACATTTATAAGAGTCTAAGACTGAATTCAGCAATTTGGAAGTTCAAATCTTAGCATCAAAATAGAAGTCTGAATTTGTCATATAGTTCAGACATTGTTCAGTGTTCAACCCATATCTCAAGTTCTAGAAGTCCAAATGCACCCCTTTTTTTGTTGAAAAGTTGAGATAATTTTCCAAAACTTTCATGAAGATTTTCTGTTTAAATTTTGATATTAGCAATTACATTTTTATCAGATAAGAAAATAATGATTGTCACAAAGTCAAGAGGTAACTACTCACTCAACAATTAATCATCAAATAAAAAGTTTTAAATTTTAGCCTATATAAGGAGGCATTTGCCATGTATTTAGGCATTTTAGTTTTCAGATCAAGATCATGTTCTTGCTCTCTTTTATTTTTTATATATATTTTTGTAATTCTTAAGTTTTGATTTTATTAATATCTTGTTTATGCCTTTCATTTCCTTCACTATACTTATATAACCATGTTCTCTTTTGTTTATTTATATTTCTCTTTTTTATTATGTTTAGCTAAGTTTATTATATCAAGGTGAAAATGTTTTACTAATGATTTTAGGATAAGCATAATATAAACTCAATATAGTCTTCAATGATTATTGATTAGTACTTAAAAGTGCATTTTTATCAAGGTTTTATATCATCATTTTGCACTTGAAGTATCAATAACTCCTTAACTAAAATATGTTTTATAATAATGTATCTAATAATATAACATACCTATAATTTATGGTAAATGTCTATTTTTAATGCAGGCCAAACTTAGAAAAGAGATGTCGGAGCAATCCAAACCGGAACACTGTTCGGTAATTGGGTCATATCTAGAGCTACAGATCTCAGATTTAGGTCCAATTTATATGGATGGAAAGGTAAGACATAGGCCTACAACTTTCATATGGAGCCCAAGATCTAAAAAGGCCATTATCAAGTCCAAATAGTAGCAACAACAAAGAAGCCCGAATCTGTCTTCCAGCCCGAGCACTGTTCGGTATTTTGGCCATATCTGGAGTTCTAGAAGTCCAAATGAGCTGAAGTTTTTACACAAGAAAGCTGAGACAATTGCCTACAACTTTCATGTTTGCAACTGGCTCCAATTTTGACGTTATCAATGACGTTTTGGGCAGACAAAAGAAGATAAGGATTGTCACCAAGTCAAAAGTTGGTCACCCACTTATCAATTAGTCATCAAATCAATAGTTCCCAATTTTGGCCTATAAAAGGAGGCATTTGCCATGCATTTAGGCATCTTGGTGTTCAGATCAAGATCATGCTCTTCCTTTCTCTCTTTGTATTTTTTATGCTTTGTTTTCATTAATATTAAGTTTATGCCTTTCATTTCCTTTCCTTTACTTAGTTAACTTTTATGTTCTTATTTTGTTTATCTATTTTGCTTTCTTTCATTATGTCTAGCTAAGTTAATTATGTCAAGGTGAAAAGGTTACACTAATGGTGTAAGAATAAGTATAATGTAAACTTAATATGGACTTTAATGTTTGATACTAACATGTTTTATATTTGTTATCTTGTTCACTCTTTAATACTTTGCTTGTTAAATGACTAATCTTGATTTA